CCATAGGCTGCAGTCTGCCAGCCTCACCTTGCAGCAGAGCTGCCCAGTTTTGTTACTGAGATTAGTGCAAAAGAACTGCCTATCTCATGTCAAGCAATGAAACCAAAAGCAGTAGAAATAATGAAATCACTCAAAATAGATGAAATGACTTCAAAACAATAAAAGGCTAAAGTAAGCAATTCACTCAATATTCAGTAAGGCATTTTGGCATAGCTTGATTGCACTTTGGATTTCATAAAAATACTGAGGCATCTGACAGTTGAAAAAGCTTTGATGAAATGTAGTAAATTCTTTTTCCCTTAAAATACCTAAAATAGGTTCTATTTCCTGTACCTTGACTACCATAATGAATATCTAACTAACTTTTCCAGAAGAATTTTTGGATTATATAGATATATAGATAGAATTTTCTATCTATAACATTCTACTGCTTTATCAGTAAATTAGATAGATGATGGATAGATAGATAGATAGATAGATAGATAGATAGATAGATAGATGATAGACAGACAAGATAGGCAGGTGGTTAGGAAAACTTGCTCTTCTGAAACAGGGTTCATTCTTAAGATCTTCTTAATATAATTGTTACTATAATTCTTAATATAATTGTTTAAAATTATTTTAATTACCTTGTTTAGAATCTTTTCAGGATAGTGAGCAAATTTAGATTATTTTATAGAACCTGCTTTATCCATTTTTTAAAATCAGGACTAATTTGCCTATTTCTAGTTTTCTTATTTCCCTCCAGGATGACCAATATCCACTCAGTCATCTATGCTGCAGCTTTTTTCAGTACTATGAAAAATTATCCTTTATCAATAAGAAAGCAGATTCATTTGGGATATCAGAGCATGTTACATGTAAGAATAACTCTGGCAAAATGGCCCACTTATAGCAACACATACCTGAGAGAGGAAGGAGCCGGAAATGTGTAAGATTTATGCACTAAGCAGAACAAGGGATGGAGGAATAACTCAAAACTGGCTTTCACATCAAAGCAGCAGCCAGATGGGCAAAGCATAATGTCCAAAGGCAAAATGAAAGTAACTACATCACAATTTCCAGTTAGATCTATCTTCCAGTGTATCAATTCTGTCTTCAGGTGGGTCAAATCAGTTGTTCAATACGTTCACCAAGTTTTTAATGTCAATGACTATATTTCTAAAAGTTCTATTTGGTTGTATTTGTTTCTCTTTTTTTCCATGGTGTCTGCTTCTTTCTCATGGTTTTGATGCATTATATCTTTAACTATTTTAAGCACTCATATTTTATTAACACTCAGTTCTTTCATCTGAAGTTCTTCATAGTATATTATTGCTGCTTATTGCATGTGCTAACTCTCAATGGGGGCATATTGTTTTCTTTGTGCTTTGTAACTTTGTACTGTGAATTCTTCAAAATTCTGTTGGAGGGAATCTTGTACTATCTGGACTGAGGCAGGTCCTCAAGAGAGGTTTTACATTTACTGTACCAAATGCCCAGGGTTTTCACAAGCTCACAATGCTTTTGTTAATTTACTGGCTTAAAGTTTCCAGAACCACACAGGCAGAAATATTTTAATCCCAACTCTAGCTAAGAATAGGAATATAGTTATGAATTTGTAAGAAAGATTTTTTCCTATCAAAAATCTTAACAAAGACATAAAAATATCCTTCAGACAGTATTCTGTACCAGTGAGTAGATAGTGTTGCTAGGATAAACTTCCAAAGGTCCCAGCTTTCTATGGGGCTCTCAAATGCATTCTTTAAACTCATGGGATCCCAAGGCATTATCTCCTACTCTTGCGTAGGCACTAAGATCTAAACCTCCATGTGATCCCTCTCCTCTGGTTGTCAAAGCACCACTCAATGTGGTTTGACTCTGGCTTTCAGGTTGTACTTCATTTTTAGCCCATGGGGAATTTCCTTAAATGCCTTCTGGCTCAGCTCCACCTTTTAAAGTGGTATTTTTTATATTTTTATCTAACTTGTGTGAGTGTTTTACAGCAGGAAGCTTTCTGGGTAATCTAGTTTGCCATACTGCCAGAAATAGCAGTAGCAAATGCTTGCATGATGCCATAAATATTAGTAGAATGTGTTAAAACTAAGCATCTCAAACCTGAAGAAAACCCATTACAATTTTTCAGGGATTGATAAAGTCATGCAACACTAAATATGGAATTTTACAAAGTGTCGTAAAATGTAGTAATAAATATTTAGAAGCTTCTTTCAAAGTTTCTCATTTTAAAGCAAAGGTAAAACGGCACAGCCACCTCCACTGGAGAAACACTTGTTCCGTCACAGTTAAAATGGCTGGAATAATTCCCCCCAAAAAGCATGTGGTGAAACCTAAAACGTATCTTTGTCAGCAAATATTGTTGGATGATATATGGAAAGCATTATAGAAGAATGAAGAAACAAATGTTGGAACATGTTACAAAGTGTTGCAGGTTTGCTATATATTGGAATGAAGCACTGATGTTTCTAACACATTCAGCTATGGTTTTGTCTGGATTCTGTTTCCAATGATAAAATACATTTAAAAAGACCACTTTGGGGGAGCCACTAAAAAAGGATAAAAAAGGACCAAATAATATTCCCTCAATGATAAGTAACTTCTTTTAGAAAAAGTATGATATGTAGAAAAGTGCGGGCAACTGTCTGAATTGGAATAAAAAGAAAATTCCCAAGCAAGGTTGCAGGTAAGTCCCCCCACATGAAATGCATTCCTTCTGTCATTTACAGGCAAGCTACTGCAGCAAGATGTGAAGAAATGAGAGCACAAAGTGCTATAGAGTATCAGGGGTGATGTTAGCTTTATAAAAACAAGACATTTAAAAATGTAGGGAACTCCTTGTACTCCTTTGCAGAGGCTAACTTTTTAGATCAGTTTCCTTGGGAAGCAGATTCTGAAGAGAGTTGCAGGTTGAAATTTTGTTGCAGAGTGCTCTGGGGCTCAACGACAGGAAGTGAAGTAGGCAGGATTAGGCAGAGGAGAAAATTGAACAGAGACACCACAATCAATCATTCCCATGGAGAGTTCTGGAACAGAGTGGCCCTTCAAGGTTGTCCCACTTTGCAGCAAACTGACCAGGACTCTCTTATATCCAGCACTGCCTGAGGTAGGGAGGAGGTGGACTTGGGTGAAGCTCCTTTCTTCCACTGAGTGCAATACCTAGAGAATGACTGGTCAGCCACCAACATGGTATGAAGGACCGTGAGCAGTACACCACAGCATCCTCTGAATCAATCACATAGAGGATTGCAGGTGAGACTGGCAACGTCTTTAAAAGAGTCGGCTGACCCAAAGATGAGCTCTTCATTTTTCTCGTAAAAAATACTAACTGATCCACATGTGCTGATTTGTGCTATACTGACAATTAGTGAACATGAGAATATGATATACCACCAAAAAATTCAATTGAACAGTAAATGTGAAAATAACTATTTCTTGAAAGACATTTATGCTATGGAGAGAGATTTTTGAAAACAGAGGTTTGAAAGTGTTTCCATTATTATATGCTGTTATTTCAAAAAATTATTTAGCCTAGAAAAACTTTAATACATTCACACTTAAGTAACCTAAGAAATTGTTTTAACTTGTTTCAAACTTTCAAAACTTCTGTGGATATTAAATGTAGGTGTTAAAATTTTTAAGTTATAAACCTTCAACAGATGAAAATTTCCTAGTTATTTTTTAACAATTTATTTACCAAAATATTTACCAAAGTTTTGGATTATCTTTGAAAGATGAGTAGTACAATTTGGAAAGCATAGTCAAAGATATAGTTCTTCCACTTACATACTGGGTTTACATATTGTTGGAAGAACTTTTTCAACTATGACAGCCATTAAAATCAAGCATCTAAATAAACTGAAATCCAGGTTTTAGAATTTCTACATAACAAAATGATAGACCAAGTTTTTGAATTGGAGCAAACCATCTGGCTACACAGTGATGCAAAATTTAGAAGGATGTCCTTATCCAGAACCAGGAAAATTCAGTGGCTCAGGCTCCCAGGCCCCCACAATTTCCAAGTTGAAATGTTCCTTCTCTTCTTCCTAGGACCCAGCTCCTAGATTACGGCTGCTTCCCCTCATTTATCACTTAGCATGGTGGCCTCCAACTCTTTATCTCCACTGTATCATCATCAGTAAAAAAAAATTGAGCAAGTACCTACATTGATTTGGTTATAAATATACACATGTGCTACTCTTCTGATAAATTATCTATAGTATAACCATATACAAAAATAGAAATTTAAAAAGATAACAAAATTCTTGCCCAAAATGCATAAATTATGAGGAAACATCAGGCAACTCAAAATGAAAAGAGAACCTGCTATGTGACATTTACTTATCAAAAATGTCAACATTATAAAAGACAAAGATTTAGAACTATTCCAAGATGGAATGACAACTAAATGTAATACATGATCCTGGCACTGGATCTTGGACCCATGAAGAAAAATTTGGAGAAAATGGGTAAACTTTGAGTGGAATCTGTGGATTAAATGGTAATGTTAGGTAAATGTCAATGTCATCATTTTGATTTTTCCACTGTAAATACCCTCAAAATATTGAGATTATAGGGCATCATTATGCAATTTATTTGAAGTAGTTCAGGAAAAAATAAACAAAACCCACAGTAATATGTATGCATGTATGTATATATGTAGAAAGAAAGAGACGGAGAGTTAAAAATGCAAATATGGATAATGCTAACAGAAAAATCTATATACAGAACTTTGGATCTTTTCACTACTTTTATAAATTTTCTGTAAATCTGAAACTATTTCAAAAGAAGTAAGGTTAAAACTTGATATAGTCAAAACAACAAAAAATCCTTTAAAAAAATGAGACAAAAGAAAAAACTAGTTTTAAAGTATTCCATTTACTCAAAATAATGTAGATTATATTAAAATATTAATAACATTTTAACATGAGAATATTAAAAAATTATAGATATTTATCCTGTCCTCTTCTTTATAAAGTTGTGTAGAGGAATACCTTCAGTGATCTCATTTTTTTTAACATTTTGCAAGTTTGCATGTCATCCTCACACAGCGACTATGCTATCTTCTCTATATCGTTCAATTTTAGTATATGAACTGCCGAAGTGAGTAGTCATCTTATTAATTTTTTTAATTTCCAGATTGTAAAACCAATCCCTCTCTTAAAATATAAGACTTAATAATTTAAAACTAACTTTTTTAAATTTAATATCTATTCATGACAGTTCAAAAGGTTTAAGTTAAGATAATGTTTATACTTCCTCATAAAACAATTGATTTTCTGTAAGATACTCAAAATCTTGTTCTCATTGTTTTTCATATTGCTGGTTCTCTCTCCTCCCTGTTAACATCAAAATGGGTGACTTTAAAGTATTCCATATTTGAAATATTTTGTAGGAAGAAGTGGTAACAGTTTTAGCTGCAAAAACTTTCTTCCTCAGCCTTCTCCTTTACCCTATCTTATTTCTGATCCCCAAAGAATGATAAAGTGGTACAGCAGAGTCATCATTTAGCAGCTCATGTCATATAACAATCTCCTGGGCCTCCTTCCTTCAGCTCTTCTGACCTTCCAGACTGGCTGACTCACAAAAGGGAAAGACGTCCATCCAGAAATTTAGAAGGGTGTGAGAATGGTTCACTAATTTAAGAAAAGCCTGAGAGGGATGAATATACAATCACTTTAATTATGCAAACAGATAACAAAATGCATGAAAAGGAAGATTATGTTTTTACTTGAAATGTGTATTTCACCAGTATGTAATACAACTTATGAGGGCTTGTGTAATTCTGAAATAAGATTCCTGAATAACATTGCAGCATGTGTCCCCTCAGCAATGGCCTTCAAATACTGAGAGCCACAGAATACAGGTACCTACAAAAAGTGTCATAAATCTACTGGTTACACGATATTGCTGAGTATTGTGTTCTACAGGTAGAATTAGCTGAAAGAGAAACTATGTGCAAAAAAGTCACTCTTCAGCAATTTGTCCACATAAAGGTAATGAACCATAAACATCATCCATGAATACTCATCCATGGATATACAGCATCAAGAATTTGGGAATACACTCACAGATGTGCACCAACTATGAACCTTGAACACTCTTTACAAAGCCACTTTTGCTACAAATAGAAAAACCCCATAATTAACAAGACAAGGATTGTTGTCAATGGTTATAAGAATTTGGTGATATGAAAAGACAAAGAAGTGGGTCACAATGTTAACAAAGGACCTGAAATGTTGTGATCTTACAAGTATCAAGACATCAGCTATCTGATATAGCAGGACATAAAAGAAATTCAAAATTTTTTATTCTAATAGCAAAGGGGTAGGGTAAGGAACAAAACCCACAGAACGTTCTTCATGCACGCCAAAGTTCTCCAGCCAAAGACTAGTGGGAACACACCTGTTGCAGAACACAGTCGGGTTTCTTGACTTGCTGCAACAATAGAGAACACACACGTGCAGAAACATGGGTATTTCACTGAGAGGTATTAGAAGGGACTTACAGGATTTGAGATTGCATGAGGTGATTTGAGGGAGAGTTCAAGAAAGCAGGGCTTTGCTCTGGATTGGGTGTTATCAGGAGATGGGGTAATTTTATGATTGGGTAGCTGAATAATTCTTATCTAGAAGGGGAGAAGAATAGACTGAAGCTAAAGCTGTCATTAGTAAAGAAGCATCAGTCATTCACATCGGCCAGGATATGGGGGATGTTTGGTCATTTTTGTGGCTCGGCCACATCTGGCCGCAGGCACAGCTGTCTGCTAATGATATAGAGTCATCACAGCTGGAATCAACTCATGCACCTATTTTCCTAGATAGTGTGGGGTTATCCATTAGTGCTTTCACCAGATAAATGAGCAGGGCCAGGTTGATCTGCATCGCGTTCACATTCCCTTTTTCCTCCTCTGAGACAGTTATAATTTTGACTTCAGTTCTGGGAAAAACTTCAGATTTTGAAAACAAGATGTCTGCTCCTTTTCCAAACCCCATGCTCTGAAAAGCATTTATAAATCCCAGTCTCAAACTCTGCACCGAAGGACTGCTGTTGAGATATACTACACCTGCTTCCTAATTCATATAATCTTGGGAGATATATACATATACATATACATTTACATATATAATATTCCTGATGCCATATTTTTCATCAATATTCCATCTACTGTAATAATTGGTCCCCGAGTTGCTTTAGAAAACTAGTGCAATGTATTAAAATCAAGTGTTAGGAAATTCCATGAGCTCACCTACAACTTTTATTTGAGAATTAAACTATTATTAAATTGTATCTAACTCTGAACTACAGTTTAATTATACTCAGTACTTCTTAAGCCTTCATAAAGCAATTTTTCCTTCCTTAAAAAAAAGTGCAAAGACGGCATTGGTGAAACTAGGGTCATAAATTCTGACCTTTCACTGACAAAAACAATAACGCTCCCCTTTCAGGGCCCTCACCGACCCCAGTCTCATCTTGGTGTCTATCTTCGCCGCCCCCGGCCCCAACCCCTTCCTGCTCTCCTGGAGCCTGTGCCCCTGGGGCTCCAGTCATCCACCAACCTTGGGGGCAAGGCCTCCCCACCCCCTGCCCTCCACCCTGGGGCCACCACAGACACTACCTGCTTCTAGGCCACTTTGGCGCTGAATCCTAAGAGTCTCTGATGCTCTTGCTTTTCCGTGGCTACAGATATGAAGGTGCTGGTTCAGTACGGAGCGGGGACACAGCAGGGGGCTGAGGTACTGTATACACAGAGGCCAGCATCTCCAGGAACAACCGGCCGCTCCCCATGCATCCAGATAATCTCAGCTGTGGAGCAGGGCACATTCTTGTCATCAGCAGAGACCAACGAAGGCCTTCTCCCTTCAGACACGTCACATTTAGGCTCAGAACGCTCAGCCCAATTACAGAGTACTTCAATACACACTTCATTTGCAAGTCTACCTTCTGCTGCTTTTCCTTCTCATGCACTGGGCTGGGCCAGTCCCAGTCATTCAGTCACGCAGGCAGGACTGCTACACCAACCAGGTGTGGGCCTGCTGGACCCAGCTCTTCACCCTTGGCCTCACCTAGTGTGTCCAGGTCATGGGTCTCTCCGCTACCCTGACAGCCATCGTCAACCACTTACAGAACATCATCCAGGAAGATAAACTTTCCGGCAAGTGGATCAAGTAAGTCATGGAGCACTCCTGGAAGCTTCAGGTAGGCAGGTATAGTGGCTAGATCGCCGGAGCCAGTCTATAGTGCACACCACACACCTGCTGAGAAGCAACTAAAAGACAAACAGGAGTCTTTCCTGCCCTAAGAAATGGTTTAACCTTTGACGAAGCAGCAGATTTTGGAACACTGTTTTAACTCAATTTATATTTAGAAAATTTCAAAGGACAAAAAGCAAAGTTTTATAAAGTCAGAAACTAGTATTAAAGAAAACTAAAATACCTGAAAAACAAAGACATTTCACAGTAAGTTTCAATTCATTAAAAAAAAAAAAAGACTTAGGATGGACATTTACAAATAATTTGCCATTAACATCCCATTTAACGCTCAACTTAAATTGTCCCCTAAGAAGTTTTATGGACAGAGTTTTTAAGAACACAGTAAAGGAAGCAGATGACAGAATTCAAGCTAATATTCTCCTGATTTCTTCCAAAGAATAAAACCACAAATTATTACTATGCCCTTTTGCCTTATATTTATTTTAATAATTTGCATTAATGTGGTACTGATGGTTTTCCTCATTATATTCAAGAAAGTAGCTACTTGCCTACAAATAACAGTTGTCCTTTTAAAAAACGATTAAAACTTAGCAAAAATAAAACTGTTCAGACAAGATCTGATTTTTAAAGCTCAAAAGGAAGATAACCTGGGCAATTATTGATTTATAATGTGTTAAATATAATATTTTCTAATATGTAAATACTTTTAAAAAGAATCGGCCCACCTAAAATTACTTTTGCTCACCCATTTTCACTTACCTATGCCATCATGATTAATTTTAATTTGAAATTCAAATATAGATTGTACATTAGGTAACTATTGTATCAATGTAAAATTTTCTAACTTTGATCACTGTACTGAGGCTATGTATGAGAACGTCCTTTTTCCCTAATGAACAGGACCAAAAGCTTTATCTATTAGAATACTGATTTCAAGCTTGTTATTAAGAAACAAAAGACTCAGAAAAAACTTACGAGCTTCCCCTCTTTCCTGCCCAAGTTATTCAGATAGAAAAACCTGCTTCAGGAAGAAAATCTTAGGATGTTCACCTCAGCCTAATTTGAATTAGATATGGAATAGACCTGTTCCCAGGTGCAGACAGGAAAGTAAATCAGTCTCCAAAAGGGGGGTTAGAACCTAAGTGGCCATGAGGGTGAGTGGCCAAAGACCAGGTGTCCTCAAATTGGTCACTTACTGCAATGGTTCTCAGACTTAACTGTATGTTAGAATCACCTGGAAGCTTTCAAAAACCCCTAGTGTCTAGGCTTCACTCCATCTATCTACTCACCAAATCAAGATATATAGCGGTGGTGCTAAATAGAAATTTTTAAAGTCCCCAGGTAATTCCAACGTGCACCAAGTTTGAGAATCACTGTCTTGGACGAGCAGCCTTGGCAATACTTGGAAGCTGGTTAGAAACGCAGAACCTCAGGCTCACCCTCAAATCTGCTGAACCAGAATCTGCAGCTTAACAAGATCCCCAGGTGATTTCTGTGCAAATAAAAGTCTGCTAAATATTAGAATCTCCTGGAGAACTAATAAAGGGGAGAGGCCAAGGTTCAATGAGGAAAGCGAAGACCTGTACCTATGACTTTACCAACTCCCCCAGAGAAAAAGTTTCAGTATCTGACCATCCCATCTGTCCCTTCAGTAAGGCAAAACTTACTTCCCTCAGTGCGCATTTCCATCCTCCCAATCCGACAGCCAACCACCGTTAATAGGAATAACTCACTATTTAATGTTCGGCAACTGGGGCGATTTCATAGTATGATCTACACCTAGAGTTAACCATATTTTATTTTTATTATAACTCCATACTAAATAGTGACCAAACTCTGAGGCTATTAATAAACACTGCATTTCTATTTGAGCAAAATAATATTTAAGACACGAAAACGC